AACGCCGTCAAAATCTCGTGTCGTAACTGCACACAATACTCCACGTTCCCACCGCTAAAACACCGCCTAAACTCCGTCGGTATCCCGAGAAAATTCTATGACGGAGTATACTCTCCAGAAACTCCGTGTTTCATCCGAGTTAGCACGGGGTCATCAATACCGTTAGGGATATAATTATATATGACTATATATGGACCAATATACAGCTATGCAGGATTGTACATAGTCCCATATATAATTATATATGCTTATATATAATTAACATACATAAAAATTTTTTTTGGTAATCACAAAAAGTGTAAAATAATGTTTATAATTACGTTTAAATAATTCTGAAATACAAAATTTGTCATATTTTCTATGAGATGTTTTGTCTGCTCTGCTACTACGTAATAGTAAAATCATTATTTATTTTATTATTCAAATAAGTGTTATATTATAATTAAATTCGGTAAGATAAATAAATTATGAATTATGACTATCTAAATATATTATAAAATCAATTTTTATATTATATTTAAGATAAACTCATATGATGCATTAAGTAGATCTTAGAATCATTATTGTCTAAAATAGCAGCATAGCAGATAGAAACTTCAAGACGCACGGAGATCACCAAATGTTAAGCAGCATTGAGCAGGGTTAATAGTTGGATGGGTGATCACTGGTGTTATAGCCATAAAATTAGTTCTAGATATTTTTTTTGCATTTTGATCAGTTATACAGAATTGCGTAGGACCATATTAAATACTCTATCCGTAAAATTAACCCAATAATTAATTAGATGTAATAAATCTATAATTAAATATTGTTATATATAGTTATATATAATTATACATAATTATATATAATTAGATATGATTATATTTGGCCATTTTTCATATATAATCATATATAACCAACTTATATATAAATATATATAATTATATATAAATATTTTTTCTCGGGTTGTTTTAAAAGTTATGCAATATTCAAATTTTCACCATTCTCTGAAATTTTCAAGTTTACTTAAATATATTACAAACTACTATACTCATTAGAATCGTTCTGGATCTAATTCGAAGGAAAATTTTTCGATAATGAAAAAAATTATATTTTGTAAAATAAATAACCGCAGAATTTTGCAATTTACAGAAGAGAAATAAGCAAATTCATGTTTTTTTTTGGCTCAATTTTTCGTTCTGTAATATTTCTAACTAATCTTATAAAATCCTGAAACTCCTAATAAGAGATTTTTTTTTGTTTCCAGAATTAGGAATTTTTTAAAATTGAAAGAAAAAAAATTTTATTTTTAATTTTTTTATTGTTTTAAGACATAGAGAAGGATCAGTAGTTGGTTGTACATCTTTATCGTCTGTAACAGATGCTAAGGTTGATTTTTAGAAAAATTTTCATCACTAGCTAGTTTAGCTTTGTTGGGATGGAGGAATTTTCTTTTCCCTTTATCTTTTTCTATTATCAGATTTCCGAATTCATTAATTTCTACTATCTTATATGGACCGGTATAGTAATGATCTAGCTTGTTTTTTCTAGGTTCTTCAAGGGTATAAATTAAATTGTTCATCTTGAAGGTGACGGGATAAATATGTTTATCGAATGGGATTTTAGATTCATTCTTTGCCCGAGTAAGATTTTCCCCTGATATGCGGTGAATTTCGGATAATCTGGTAATTAGGTCGGTAAGGTAGTCATTATAGGTTTCTATTTTGCTGAAATCTGGGAATTGAGTCGGTGTTCGCGCCCTTTTTCCACACAGAATTTCGTATAGGGTAAATTTAGTGGTGGTGTGGACCGTAGTGTTGTAGCTAAATATCGCCATGGGTATGTATCGATCCCAATTATGAAATTTGTCGACATACGCTCTTAAGTAGTCAACTAAGGGCTGGTGGGAACGTTCTGAGGAACCGTTTCCCTGAGGATAGTAAGAAGACGTTGTTAGTCTATGAATTTTTAGAGTTCGAGTGAGTTGCTGTATCAACTCACTCGTGAATGAGGTACCCTTATCTGAGAGGATGACACGGGGGCACCCATATATTGCGATATAATGGTTTAGTAAAGCACCAGCAACCGTGACAGCTCTGATATCAGGTAAGGGAACCACCGCAACGGCTTTTGGGAAGTTATCTTGGATAGTTAAAATATGTACATTAACGTCCGGGGTCACGGGCAGGGGGCCTACTGTGTCCATGCTGATTTTTTCGAAAGGTTCAAAGGGGGTATCGTTAATAAACATGGGTTGCTTGGTTTTAATTCGAGTCAATTTATTCTTTTGGCAAATTTCACATAAAATTATAGATTTTATTTTTCATGCCCGGCCAGTAATATTTTTTTCAAATTCTCCAGTACGTCTTTACTACCCCTTTGTGGCCTCCTATCAGGCTACTGTGGTTTTCCTCGATTATCTGAGTTCAAATGGATTCATCTGGTACCTCAATTTTTCCTTTACACAGCGTAATAGTGGCAGGGCAGTCACTAAGTTCTTGTCGCAGGTATTTAAGGATATCAAGATCTTCGAATTCGTCCCCCCCTTTACTACAACAGAGGGAGTAGATCTGGTGTTTGTGTAGGGATTGTCGTAAATTACGCAGCCTTTTTATCAGATCGGTAGGCTCTATTTTTTCAAAATGATGTGTTTTCATGAATACTGTAAAAATTTTGCAGCGTACCAGTTGAGTGACGAATACGTCACCCTTCTTGGGTCTAGTTGCATGAAGGTCTTCCGCATTTATAAATTTTAGGTCCCGTAATAGTCGTGCTACTGGTTTAATTATCTCACAATCGGTTGCTAGGAAATGCACTAGATGGTCTTGTGCATAAGTGAGGCAACCTCGAGTTGTGATGAATTTCAACTTTACTTCTGATCTTTTTCTGAGAACTTCTTCGCTCGAACTCAAAGAAGATGAGATTTTCGGGTGGTGACGTCTGTCAGCGATGATTTCTTCTGCCTGATTTGATGTAGGAGGGTCAGAGATTGAGAAAAGGGGGTAAGGAGGACCAATGTTTTTCTTTTTCTCTCTATCATCCCTCCCCCCCCCTCCGGCGTTAGTTGTTCGAAGTTGATTCGAAGATCCAGTTTTATCCGGGGTTTTCTCCCTTGAATCCCCCTGATCTTCCTCCTTGGTTTTATTAGGTTCAGTTTAAGAGGTTCGAGTGTATTTCTTTATCAAGAGATTTTGTTCTTTATCGTGTACATCGATGATGTCCTTTGTCTCATGGTCATATCGAATTCCCATGGCGGCACGTTCATCTGGTATTAGTGCCCTTGCTCATCCAGGGGTTGCAGGCTCTGGTCCCATCCCTAAATAGCCCCTAAACCTAGAATAGCTTCTTCTAGGAGGGGTTACTTGTTCTTCGAACAGTTCTTGCAAATCGGGGATGCTGCCTTTACTGGTGGATGTTTCAAATTCCTCATCGTTGTCTCTTAAGAATTCACTGGTGTCATAATCATCTCTTTCGGTGATTTGCTCATTCTGGGGGGGGGGGTAAGTCGGGATCTAGGGGTGGCGCCAGAGTTAATGTTTCTTTAATTTCCTTGGCTAAGTTCGGATCGATCTCCTGTAGGTAGTTTGGATCGATAACTGGAGGTTCTGTGTCAATGACCGTGTAACAGGGTAAATTACCCTTAATCGATAAGTCGCCAGAGATCGATAACTTTTCGACTAGCATTTGTGCGCATCGATCTTCGGGCCTATAGAGAGAGTATGAGGGGGTATTTTGGGGGTCGTTATATGGGTGAGCCATGCGTTGTGTCGGGAGAAGTAGTGAAGTGCTCAAACTAGTAACATCCAAAAGTCCAAGAAGGGAGCCCGGGAATTCTTCAAGCCAAATTTACACCAGGTATTAGGACTTTGATATTGATGAGCCGTGGAGCCAAATACTCGGCTCATCAAAATACTACTTCTCATTTCCATTAATTCAATTGTTCAATAATAATTTATTTATTAATAATTACATAATTAATTGCTAGTAATCCAACAATTCGTTAAATTCAGTGTTTAGCATTCGTTAGTTGTGTGAGCATTCTTCTTGGGGGTTTATACCCGGGGAATATTCTAGACCTTGTAGTTTTAGAAGTGTGAGTAATTATTTATTAATTTGGCCGGTTAATAATTATTAATATCGAAAGATTGGTTAGATAAAATTATTTTTATTAATAAAATAAACCCAAATTTCTGAACATCGAGAAAATTCCAATTGTCAGATGCACAGACCGGTCAAGCGTCGGTCGCATACTCAAGGTCAAAGCTTTACTACGCACTTACGAATGCCGGCGTCCATTTTGAGCGCGCAAATTCTTTTGTCAATTATATTACGCAGTAATTTATAAATTTAACAACTGAATTATTATTATTGAAATTACAACAATTGAATTATCATTATTGATATTATTTATTGGAAATTATTTCATTATTGAGAATTAATTTATTGAATTTCGGCGCAATTTAAGATTGAAATACCCGTGGATAATTTTTCGTAATTTATTTTACATTGAGATAATTTATTTGTTAATTATTATCTAGTCGGAAAATTCCACGCGGTTATTAGAAAATATTGAATATGAATATCGGGAAATAAGGACCACCATATGTGGAAAAACTTTTTTATTATTCTTGCCAACGTTTCGTCAAAATTTCTTGACTTCTTCAGGGCTCTACAATAAAAAAAAATTCATAACAAGTTAACAACACATGTCAGTATAAACCGTAAATACAAATAAAAATATAAATATAAACATTGTAATAACCTCCAAATCTTTAGAGAAATAAATACTAACCAAAACAATTTATTTAATCCACAACTGTCAAAGTTATATAGTCAACAACGACCCAACTAGTCAAACAATATGTCAAGGTATCAAATAAATGTTGATAAATAAATAATTGCTTATAAAACATTATTAAATCCATATACATGTGCACAATTTCAGTTACAAACAAATATAATAAAATCAATACCCAAGTCGATGACCTATGACAGCCGTCGGTAACTCAGGACACTTATTCATTACAAATCAAGCGCTTTAATTCAAAATATTAAATTGATACACTCATTTACAAAGTGCTTTCTTTATATCTATTTAACACTTGATTATATACAGTACTCAATTTCTGAGTGTCTGTTCTATAATTAATTGTATTATGCACGTATATCTGAATCATTTCATTTATATTTTTCTTTAAATGTCCTTTTTCAGTATCTAATATTTTTACTTTATCAAAACAAAATTAGTGACCATCCTCAAAATGATGTGCAGCTAACGCGGTCTTATTTTCATTTAAAATACCAACGTCTCGGCAATCCAGCTTGTGCTGTGCTATTCTTTTTCTGACATATTGTGACGTTTGACCTACGTAAATTTTATCATAACTACATGGAATTCCATACACAACATTTGATTTGTTCTCCAATTTTGTTTTATCTTTTAGCCTCGTGTAAATCTTATTCACTGTATACAAATTGTATAAGACAAGTTTGGCATTAGCATCCTTCAAGCAATGATCGATTTTAAATGATAATCCTTTGATGAACGGAAATTTATACGACTTCTTGACATTTATATCCACATTCTCAATCCTGACATCTCGCTTCCTGAGAAACAAAGCAATTACTTTGTTTACAAAACCCACCAGGTAGTTGTTATTCCTCAAAAGTCCTCTGACCCTCATCAAATTTTCATCAGTAAAACTTTCATCACTTAAATTAATTGCTCGATGTAACAAACCAGAAATCATTCCTTCTTTTTGCTTAGTCGGGTGGTTAGATTTGAAGTTAAGCAATCTTCCTGAACTTGTTTCCTTGACGTACCAATTCGTCAACAGTCTACCATTACATCTTATGACCATAACATCCAGAAATGGGAGTCTGCTTTCCTTTTCTATTTCTATATTAAACTTGATTTTATCATTGATACTGTTGAAACAACCGAAAACGTGGTCTACCTTGTCCTTAGGAATTAACAGCAACGTGTCATCCACATACAGCTTCAGTAATGGAATATGGAAATCCAACTTATCCAGCGCCTTATTAATAATAAAATTCATTACTACATTGGCAAGACTGGGGCTAGCCGGATTGCCCATGCTGGAGCTATCCACTTGTTGGTAAAGATTATCTTGAAAAGTGAAATAGCTGAACCCAAAACAGAACTTTATTAATTTAATCAAGTTTTCTTTCTTCATCTTAATGACCTTAGACAACATATCCCAATCTTCCTCAATGATATTCAATACCAGCTCTTGTGGTATGTTTGTGAATAGTGACGTTACATCCAAGGAAATTAAAATATGGTCACTCGGCACCACAATCAATTTCAATATGTTCACTAATTCAAATGAATTTTTAACATTCCATTTGATTGTCGACGTCCATGCTGCAAGTATCCGGTGCACGAAACTAGCTAATTTGTAGCTGGGTGTTCCAACACAACTTACAACAGGTCGTAATGCGAAACCCACCTTAGGCGTTTTCCGGAGATCATATATCTTCGACGCAATCGCGTTATGGGTCTTTAAATATTTCGCATCTGCTTCATCAATTTCCTTTTCAGCTAATAATTCCTTCACAATGTCATTTGACTGAAACTTACTTGTTGGATCTTTCGTTAACTTCTCATATGTGTTTGTATCACTCAGCATATTATTCATACCGTTTATATACTCCTCTTTAGACATTACAACAGTGGAACCTCCTTTATCCGACCTTGTGACTATCAGTTCATCATGCTCACGTAGAAATCTTCTGGTCTTCATAATATTCTTACGAACATCATCGTACTCCCTGGGTTCTTTCTTTTTCAGGAAATTCATCAACACATTAACTACTTCCGATCTGATCTTATTCCTATTCTCTTCTACTATTTTAATAGTCTCACCTAGCACATCTGCAATCTGAATGCAGAACTCAATGTCTTTAATGATCGTAGGCACCGCCGACACACTATTCCTTAACGGAATTCCAAATTTCGGTTCCAGTTTCAATGTATTGAGGACCTTCTCAGGTAAAATTACGTCCGTAAAATTATACACAAACTTGTCTTGATTACCTCCAATTACATACACAGCCGAATCCTTAACTAACTTATTAAATTTCTCAATATTTGAATATTTAATTCTGTTAAAATATAACATATATTTAATTCTAGCATAACCTTCCTATATGTTCACCACTTCTGTTGGAACATTCTGATATAAATCACTCAACACCTTATTATAGTTACGTTCTAAATTCTTAGTTCTCCAGATGTTAATTTTAATCTCCAATGTTAATATTGACCGTCTAAATTCGAACAAAAATAGGTAGCCAGCAAAGCACCTCGTACAGAGGCTATCGTATACGAGGGCAATGTGTAAATCCTTATAACTATTAAAAGGTCTTATTCCTGCAGTACCCTCATACGGAGCGTCTATACTACAGTTTCTATCTAAGTCGCGCTGTCCACAAGACCCTCATGCTCTAAGTAGGCAGCGAAGCACCTCACACAGAGACTGTCGTATGTGAGGGGACGCTGTTCACACACACACACACACACATATAACCCACGTGATCTTCACACACACACTGACTTTACTTTACTTTTATTAATAAAAATTATAAAAGTTAATACAAAATTAATCTCCAAAAATTAAATACATTAATTTTTACTAAATTTTTCAGTCATCAGCTAACAAATAAAACCATAAACTATTTCCACGACTAATAATTTACTTTTCGAGGATCCCGAGCTAAAACCGACGCCTCAACTTATTCCAAAATTACCACGAGTTTATACTCAACGCTAAATAAATTTCCGGAACATTCTACGGACAATTTATTCCAATTTTTGGTCGTACATTAATTATTAATTATATAAAATATTCTGATAAAATTTCATCAATTAAATTTAACTAATTATAAATTCCCGGACATAATATCCACGTAGTTAAATTAATTTCTAAGAATTTTCCCAAGATGATGAAATTAAAAATTATTAATTAAATTTTCAGAATTTGGTTCAAATGTAAAAATGACCGCGTGGAATTTTCCGAATAAATAATTAATTAACAATTAATTTATCTCAATAAATTACGAAAAATTATCCAAGGGTATATAAGTCTTAATTTGCGCCGTAATTTCAATAAATAATTTTCAGTAATAAAAAATAATTTCCAATAAATAATATAATATACATAATTATATCATTATGGTAGATAATAAAATGATAATTCTATTGTTGTAATTTTAGTAATAATAATTCAGTTTTTGAATTTTATAAATTACTGCGTAGTATAAGTGCCAGGAATTTAGGCACTCAAAATGGACGCCGGAATTTGTAAGTGCGTAATAAAGCTTTGACCTCGGGTATGCGTTATTGCGTTGTAATGCGACCGACGCTTGACCGATCTGTGAGTTGGCGATTGGAACTTTCTCGATGTTCAGAATTTAGGTTTTATTTTATTAATAAAAATAAATTTATTTAAACCAATCTTAAGAGGTTAATAATTATTAATTGGCCAAATTAATTTCTCACAACTTCTAAAACCACAAGGTCTCGAACATTCCTCGAGTATAAACCCCCAAGAAGAATGCTCACACAACTAACGAATGCTAAACACTGAATTTAACGAATTGTTGAATTACTAGCAATTAATTATGTAACTATTAATAAATTAATTATTACCAGACAATTGAATTACTCAAATTAAAATGAGAAGTAGTAATATTGATGACCCCGCGGGTCATCAATATCAAAGTCCTAATACCTGGTGTAAATTTGGCTTGAAGAATTTCCGACCCCCAAAATACCCCCTCCTACTCTCTCTCTAGGCCCGAAGATCGAGGCGCACCAGTGCTAGTTGAAAAGTTATCGATCTCTGGCGACTTATCGATTAAAGGTAATTTACACTGTTACAAAGGATTTACACATTGCCCTCGTATACAACAGTCTCTGTACAAGGTGCTTTGTTGGCTACTTAGGTTAAGTTGAGTGTGGAGGCAGTAATGGTTAAGTGGTCTGGTGGACTTGTAATTTTAAGTTTAGTTTTAGGCAGGTGTGGGAGATCGTTAGTTCTGAAAAAACCCAAATAGTTTTAGTCAGGTGTGGGAGACCGTTAGTTCTGAAAAACCCAAATTAGTTGTAATCAGGTGTGGGAGACCGTTAGTTCTGAAAAAGCCTAACTAGTTATAATTAGGTTGTGGGAGACCGTCAGTTAGAACATCCCAGCTAATCATCGCATCGTCGTTTGGAAAGGTGTCGTTTGTGAATATCGTTATATCGCAATTATTCTTCGTGTCACTAGTTAATAAGTTGTTAGTTTGTAAGTGAGTTGATTTGTCATCAAGGTTGTTAAAATTGTTCTGTTATTAATAAATACCGGTTCTGTTGTTAAATAAAAATTTATTTATTTCAGATCATCTTCCTCATTCTCTCTCCCTGTAGATATTAAGCTCAGCTCTGGTTCCGGTTCCAGGAACCGTGTTATAAAATCCTGGTGGCGCTCTTTATTTATCAATATTAGCTTTCAATTTGTTATTAATTATTTTCTCCAATTTAAATTAAAGGAGCTAAATGAACAGGTAAGGTAAAACAAACCCGTTGCAACCGTTCGATAGATGGGTCTTCGTTCGAGCATTTGGTCAAACATTTTGATTAAATCCTGAGTTTTTCAGCGTTCTCTTGGTGGGCTTGATATTTTATCCAAATCTAACTCTACGTCAGCTTCAAGACTAGCATCTATCGGTGGGGTCGATCTTCCGGCACCTGGGGGTGTTAACTTGCAAAATATTTCATCGTCCTTCCTAGTTTCACCTTCAATTCCTTGCTCTTTTAAATTGTAACAGGGTAAAATTACCCTGAATTGATAAGTCGCCAGAGATCAATAACTGCTCGACGCAGCACTGGCGCGTCTCGATCTCAAACGAATTCTCTTTACAGGTAGATAATGACAAATTAAATAACTCGGTGAATAGATATAACATAAAAGGCAACATTATTTTATAACATTTGATTGAGAAACCATCAGGGCCAAGAGAGCTTGATGTTATTCTCATAATTGACTTTTTAACAGAAACACTATTAATGCGCGAAAAATTAAACTGTGATTCTAATTGAGATGATAACTGATTGGTTACATCTAAATTATCACTAATTATATCGCCGTTTTCTAAATTATCACTGTTCATATCACCATTTACAGCACAATTTATATAGTAGTCATTCATCTCATCTATATTAACATTCAATAAGTGATCATTTTCATATGTCCTTATTAATATACCTTAGAGTGTCCTTATTATGAACCCAAGTTCTCTGAAGTCATTCCATAACGATCGGAAATTCTTTTCAGTCATGAATCTGCTTTCAAGATAATTTTTAACTTCCCGCTAAAAATCTCAGATTTTCAAAAATCGAGAAGTTATTGTTTTCACCCCGTTTTGCAAAAATCGAGTTTTCATCAGATCTCGACGTTTGAAGGTCACAGGAAGCTTCCCTGACTACTCCCGTGGTGGTGTCTGTCTGTAAGTATGTGTGTGTGTGTGTGTGTGTTTTTTTTCCCTTTAGGGGGGGGGGGAATCCTGTTTACGGATTCTAGGCATAGATGTTTAGCCTGGATATGTGGCGACTCGACGCAGCGTCATACTAAAACTCGACGCTAACGCCCCTACCCACTAAACCCTAAACCCCTTTCTCTTCTATCCTCTGATCCCCCATGGTACCGTCGTAAGGCATTTCTTCGCGGGGGGAGGAATTAGCTGCCGCTCTTCCTTCTGGTGGCTAAGATGTTATCTTCCTTCTAGTTTCTGTCTTTTGCTCTTTTTCTCTCAATGGAACGCAGCTCTGTAAGCACTTCTGTGGCAAAAGTGTTCGTTGCATTCCAGGCAACTTCTGAAGACAGCATTGCTTCTACGATTGACTCTGGTTGAATTGTCTTCTTCAGGATCTTCTCCAGCTCCTCACGTTGTTGATTGAAACGCGAGCACTCGAACAAAACGTGCTCTGCATCTTCAGTGGCTCCGGGGCAGGACGGGCACTCCGGAGAGTCGTCATGCCTAAAGCGGTGAAGATAAGCCCGAAAGCAGCCATGTCCTGACAACATCTGCGTTAGGTAGTAGTTGACCTCACCGTGATTCCGGTTCAGCCAAATGTCGATCTTTGATATAAGACGATGCGTCCATCTACCCTTCTCTGCGGCATCCCACTGAGATTGCCATCGTGCGATGCTGTGCTGTCTTTGTTCCGTTCTGAGTTCTTCTGCGCTCAGTGTTGTTGACCTCTTTCGTTGGTAAAGGTTCCGTCTTTCTTCAGCTAGGACTCTGAGAGGTAGAGTTCCAGAAATGACGCACACTGCTTCCTGAGATATTGTGCGGAAGGCGCAAGCTACTCTTAGGGCACTCAGACGATATACTGGTCCAGCCTTTCTCCATGCTTCTTGTAATTCTAGCGCATCAGCCCAAATGGATATTCCGTACGTAAGCACTGATGTGACTACAGTTGTCAACAATAGTCTCCTACTCTGCTTTGGTCCTCCGACGTTAGGCATCAATCGTGCGAGACTTGCCCTTACTACTGACGCTTTGGCACTGACGTGTTCCACTTGCTGTTTAAAGTTGAGACGGGCATCAAGCATCACTCCCAAATATCGGATATAAGGTTGTGATGTGATTTCTTGTTCGCCGACTTTAAGCTTGATGGTCTCTAACGCTTTTCTGCTGGTAATAAGCACTGCCTCAGTCTTATGTTTCGCCAGTTGAAGATTCATTGGGTCCATCCACTGGTTTAGTTGCTAGAATGCTAGATCAAACATGTGGTGAATCTCGTCCAGGTGTTTAGCGACAATCACTACGGCCACGTCGTCCGCATACGCTACAAGTTTAACATTCCTCGGGATCTTTAGCCTTAGGAGCCCGTCATACATGATATTCCACAGCAGTGGGCCAAGAACAGAGCCCTGCGGAACACCTCCGGTGATTTCGTACTCTTTCGGACCGCCCTTTGTGTCATATCTCAGGACTCTATCCGTGAAGTAGCTAGCTACTATTTTACGTAGGTATCCTAGCACGTTCTTCTCTTGAAGAGCTTGCATAATGCAGTCCCAATTAGCAGAGTTGAAGGCGTTTTTGATGTCTAACGTCG